CTCAAACAATCCGCCTGTCTTGGCCTCCCAGAGAGCTAGGATTACAGGCGTGAGCCACCGCTCCTGGCCTCAGGTCCTCACTCTTAATTAGCCTTAATTACTGCCTAAAGGCATTGTCCTCAAATACAATAACATTGAGGGTTAGGACCTCAATATATGAATAGGGGGTATGGAATTCAATCCATCAAAGTGCAGATGGAGCTAGTTTTTTCCATAACGTTTGGCTGGAGCATAGCAGTTATTTTCTAAAAATTTTCTACCTTGTTATGTTACCCTGACCTTTGGCTAGAGAGCAGGGTTTTTGGAGGGCAGGGGGACTTTTTAGTGTGGGTCCATCGATGTTTCTGAGTTACCAGCTTCTTTTTCCTGGCCTGGGATATATGAGGCAAAAAGAAAACCTAGGAAAGTCATCACCTTGAGTCCCAAAGTTTCTAACCAGTCTGCCTTCTTCTCTTCACCTTTCAGAGTCATATTTTGTTTATTTTGTCTATGATATCCAGGAGACATGGTGGTGTAAGGAGTTCCATAGGCCCTCTCCCCAGAAAAAAGCTACCATAAATGAGGACAATTTTTTAAAATATATTTAAAACAAACAATAACCAAAAAATTAAAAGCTATGCAAATTGTCCTAAGAATGTAAAGAAAATGAAAAAAAAACCCCATATTTATTTAAGAAGATCCACTAAATCTAGGTAAGAGAGATTCTATGGCATTTAAGCCATAATTCCCTCTTCCCCTGCCCCCAGCTCAGCATGACGAAAGCGCCACTCCAAGCAGCTGAATCCGAGAATACAGGGCTTCCTCGCCTCAATCTCCGAGTCTGGAACTGTGGTGTCTTTCCATGAGGGGCAGGCCTCCAACATTTCTCATTCCTCTAGCTCTGGGTTGCAGAGCTCTGTTGTAGGTAAGAATGGGGCTCTGTTCCCTCACCCAGCTCCCACTCATAAGTCAGAGGCTCTACCCCAGATGTAAAAAGCCAAGACTACTGAGGACCTAATTGCCTTATCTCACCTCACTGGTAGGGCAGAGTTTCCATGTCAGAAGAAGCAAGTCAAGAAGACCAGAGGCTGTTGCCCCTGCTGAGTGCTCTGCTAGTAAGGCACAGGTGTCATGCCAGAGAAGGAGGCACTGTCCCTGCCCCCATCTCCAAAGAACTGGCATAGAGGTTTTGCCCAGAGAGAGAGAGGTAAGTTATAAGAACAGAGAAGAGCTTTTGAAGTTTTTCCCAAGGAACTGACTTTATTTGGAACAGAGAGTGGGAAAGTTCAAGGCATAAGGGCACTTTCAAATACATTGGAAATTTTAATTGTAAGCAATTAAGTTGCTGTGAGCTAGGATGACGCCACGGCACTCTAGCCCAGGCAACAGAGTGACACTCTGTCTGAAAAAAATAAACAAATAAAATAAATAAAGAATATGAAACATGCAAATAAATAGGAAAGTATGACCCATATGCAGGAGAAAAAAGAGGTAACAGAAAATGCCTTTGAGAGGGTCCATGTATGAGACACACCATACACTTCAAAGCAGCTATTATAGTTGGGTATCGTGGCACACACCTGTAGTCCCCACTGCTTGGGAGGTTGAGGCAGCATGATTGCTTGAGCCCAGGAGTTACAGTCCAGCCAGGGCAACATAGACAATGTCTT